CGCATACAAATTACACTCGTGCCTTAAGTTTTTTCTTAGTAGATGTGCAAGGATAATATGGAGATTGCGCATTTTGTTGTTTTGATATGTTTTAGTTGATACACTGAGAAATCGTTAAATAAATAACTTGTTCATAGGGAGGGAAGTAGGGATATGTTTTTTTACATGTTAATAATTTTATAAAAATTCCAAAGTTTGTGAAATTAAAAATATTTTAAAGTTTCTGTAAACATAACACTTTAATTAATTATTCGTTTTGCTATTTTAGGGGTTTTAAACATCTGCGTTTCTTACATGGTAACTTAAAGGGTCTATAGGACTAAGTGAATACTTAGAATAGATGTTATAACCTAACTTATAAACCAATCCTTTATGCACTGTATAGATTTTATATTCAATATTAAACAAAAGATAACATCTTGAATGCTAGGTTAGGTTAGATTAGGTTAGGTTACTGAGGCCGTCCGAAGACGCACTTAGACCATGAGGAACTTTGTCATACCCTTAAGAATTTGACACCTGTCAAACTATAGCCATTTAGTACTGACCACAAAGCCACTGACAAGAGCTAGGGAAATAGAATTAAGCTCTCTTGATGAATTAAAAAAGTGCAATCCTAAGTAGGAGAGCATATGTCTTGCGAAAGTAGGACACTGTAGCAGAAGGTGTATTGGTGATTCCCTTTCGTCATTCTCCATGCAATATCTACAGTGCAAAAAGGTTCTAATATTGAGGTCCTGAACGCTCAGTACATAACAATTGAATTTACTAGAAGTTAATTGTAATTTATTATTATTTATAAAAAGCTTATTACATTGTCTAGTTAATATTCTACTCTGCTACTTTGGTCTTTTTCTTTAAATAAAAATAAAACGAAAAATTTTATTTATTTCATATTTAAAAATATTTTTTTTATTATTTTACGATTTACCCAACTTTCTATTGGTTTCTAAGAATATCTTCAGGCATATTTGAAATTTTTATCATATTTAATGGGTAAAATTTATAGTTACAAGAAATTTGAACTTTAATTATGTACTAAGTATTAATAAACATTTCCCGTAGAGCTTAGTACTAATATCTCTAAAGAATTTTAAACCTACGGTATTCTAGAGTTAAATTCCATGTATTCTACCTGTTTTGAACACACTTTTATTTAAAAGGGGCTTGTTTTTTAAGTACAGATTCTTGCTTCATAGCCAAACCATAATATAAAGCATAAGAATTTTCTTTTTCATTCTGGTTTCAAATTTTTAATATTTTTAATTAAAACAATAAATTCTTTATTCAGAAATATCACTTACGTATATTGGAGTACTTAATTCTTCTTCTTGCGTAGCGGTAAAATTTTTCCTATACAAAGTTGCTGACTTTGTGATCAACCCCCAACCTGGAGGGTAAAATCCCCTTATTTCCTAACCTGGAGATAGGTTTGGTGTTTAGTAGTTAGAGAATTTCCGCTCAACAATATGTTTTCAAGTTATACCACCTGTACCTGATGGCCAGAGCCTCGTATGTGAAAAACATATTGCGCCATCGCTAGGTAAGGTTGACAATTGAGAAGGCTAGGCTATATATTCGCAGCACTGCTCCATTGGGCACACGCTTTTGCCCCTTACACTTAATTACTTTCGGGAAATAATAACATTTTCATTATACCTAGCTTTTATCAACCGAACCGTCGTGGATTGGAGGTTCCCTGACAATGGTTCGCTGGCTCTCTGATGATATCTCGATTATGGAAATTCGAACGTATATGGTTTTGTAAGCAACCATGCATATTATTGTAACCAAAATTCTAAATGTTATTTAATTCTAAAGTGTCGCTAAAAATAATCTATATATTTAATTGAAAGCAGAACACGTAACATGTAAGACAAAAAAAATTTTTTAATGATATAAATTTTTCGTTATCTGATACTTAAGATATTTGTATACTTTATTGCTTTATAATTAAGTAATGTATTTCAGAAATATTTAAGTAGCACTCGAAGTTATTTAAAAACTTTTATCTGCATATCATAATAAAGTAACAGAAATGTGCAAAATTTGTTATAAAATAATATCATACTTAAAATACTTGTGCATAATAAATTTAATTCCTTCTTATCTCTAAAAAATATATATTGAAGAATTTTTTGCAGTGTTCCTCATCTCAACAGCTTACAAAAGCTAAAGTAACTGTCATGTAATTTACACGTACGCATTAAAATTACACCTCCGAACTAATATAATAACACAGGAGCAACAGTGTTCTTTTGGTTGGAGTGAATTTAACAGCACCTACCAAGCTACATAAAAACATAAACACACGAAAAGAGCAAAATATTATTCACCGTTTTTCTCATTTCCCTCTCAAAGCGTGCAAAATGCTTATCTTTACAAATGGCAACACTAAATTTGCTATATGAGACAACATGACGTATACGCTACTAAGCGTGAGTAAAATTTTAGCAATATTTTTCACCACACACTACTCACACAGTGTGTGTGTGGTGAAATAAGATTGGTGAATTTAAAAACAGAAACATTGTTGCTTATTTGGTGTGGGAGATTAGCCGAGATACCAAAACAGGCTTGTTGCAATAAGGAAAACTGTTGCATGAGCATTTCATTGTAAACTTTCGAGAGTTTTTTACTATCACACATACACATACACATACATTCCCTCACAAATATTATCAGTGCTCAGTTAAAAACAAGAAAATTAAACAAAAAAAAAGCAAAAGACAGAATGCTTTCAAAACTGTTGCGTATTTGTGAATGGAGTTTGCATTCCGACGTGGTAAGATTCCGTTGTAGCGTAAGAAGATAAGATTCTAACAGTTTCCTTATCAGTGATAGATAATGACCATTTATATATGTATGTTAGCTAGTTAATCAATGTTTAATTATGTTTATTATTATTGTTTTGTTTTTTTTTTATTATATGAGTATACAAAAATATTAATTTATCAATGAATATTATTTTAAAAACAATTTAACGTCTTCGATGAAAAAAGAAATATTTGAAATATATATATAAGTGTAATATAAAATATTTTTTTTCAAATAATTTATTTTATATCGAATCATATAAAATTAATGGGACAAATATAATTTTTTTATGAAGTTTTTAATCCGGAAAAAAACTTTTTTCAAGTTGGTACAGTGCAGATAAAGATCTATAAATTTTTAATTTTAATTTAAATATATTTTAAATATTTAAATATATGTATATAGAAGTATAATATAAAAAATATGTGAAAATGATGTAAAAAAATAAATAATGTGAAATGAAAATAATATAAAAAATTATTTTTATCAGTAATATATATTATTTCAATGACATCTATTATCAAATGAAATTTTTTTTTAAAAAGAAAACTAACTATAGAAAATATAACAGCATAAATGAAAAATAAAATATAAAAACATTTTCAATTTTTAGTTTTTAATTTCAATTTCATTTCTTATGTTTTATATATTTTTATAAGTGGACAAACAAATTATACATATTTCTATACATTTATATTAAATTAAATGCAACAAATAAATATATTACATGAAAAAAATTAAATGTACTCATATAATACAAGTAAACATTTTATAATTTAATTTCATCAATATATCTGCTGGTTTGTATATATTATATTTAATCATTAAATACCTTTTATTAAAATAATTATATATTTCAATAAAAAATTATTGTATTTTATTATTAATTAAATTTTTTTTGAATTGTGTAATAATACAAAAATTTTTTTAAATAATTTAATTATTAATCATTTTGTTTTTTAACGGGCTAATTGGTCAGTAGATACACTTTTTTTAAGAATACTTTTTGATTTTTAAAAAATTTTGTATATAGTACCCTGATGATGAAATATCGGTTTAAATAAAATTTTAAAAAACCAAAAACAATTTTTTGAGGAGTTTATAGCATTATGTTAAATACTTTTTAATCAAATAAATATATATTTTAATAAAAAATTATTGTTTTTTATTATTATTATTATTATAATTCGAAATAAATAATTATTAGTTTTTACTATCTTTTTTTCAGATGTTTAAATAAATATTTTATAACAAAAATTCCAACATCTTCAATGCAAAAAATAAATGTTTCAAACGAATCAATTTTATTTAATATTTAATATTACTGAAAATCATATAAAATTAATAATAATTTAATTTAATTCATTTTAAATTATTAAAAAATTTTTATTTTTTTATAATGAAATATAATTTTTTAATTTAATTATTTTTAATTACTTTTTTTTGTGATGTAAATTTATAAATTTTTTAATAATAATAGTATTAAATAAAAAAAATTTTGAAATAGTACAGTACATGCAAATATTTATTAATATGTATTTATTACACATTTTTTTTAAAGTATATACAAATTACACAAACATATTATACAAACATATATATAAGTGATGTAAAATTAAAGTTTTATAATTAATTAAATTTAATCAATATATTCAAATTCAAAAATTTGTTCGGAATGATCTGTATATATAATATTTAATCGTTAAATATTTTTCAATAAAATAGTTATATATTTCGATTTTAAAAATATTGGTTTTTATTATTACTTCATGTTTTTTTTTTAAGATATAGATATGGATATATTTTTTTGAATAAATATTTTATAAAAAACAAAAATATAATGTCATCAACGTAATAATTAATAATAATAAGTAATTTGAAATAAATAAATTTTTTATTATTTATTCGATAAATATTTCTCATTAAAACAATAATTTATTACGAAACAAGTCATTATTTTTTATTATTGATTTATTTTTTGTTGTTTTTGAATTTAATATATTTCATAGTTTTCTTTCATTTCTCTTACAAATTACATTGGAACATTTTGTTTTTATTTTATATTTTAAATATAATTAACTATAAATATATATATTATGCTATAAGTCGTGATTTATATTTTTACTCTCTTTGACTTCTTAACTTAAAATTAAATTTATTTTAAATATAATTGTAGTTTTTATTTTTTATTAGTTTTATTTTTTGTTTTTTAATTTTTTAGATTTATTTTTCTTCTCATCTTTTTTCTTTGGATTACTTTTCTTGTCCTTACCACTATCCTTTGAGCGTTTCACTCGTTTTGATTTCAGAGAAACGATTTCAGATTCATTTTCGGAGTCACTAATCTGACATGATTTAAGTGACTGTGAATCTTTCTTATCTTTTTTCATCTCCATTTTTTGTTTATTTTTCTTATTTGATTTCTGTTTCGACATTGCACTTTCGTTTTTTTCTTCAGAACTGCTTTCATTGTTAAGCTCAAAAGTATTTTTTTCCTCGAGCTCATCCATCTCATTTGAATCTTTAGAAAGTTGTTTAGTATTATTTTTCATCTTTAGTTTTTTCTCTTTTTTACTCATTTTATTTTTGTTTAATTTTTGATCATTTAATACTTCTTCATTCCTTTTATTTTTTTCATCATTCGAATCGTTTTCTACCTCATTTTCTACTTCATTTTCTTCACTTTGTTTTATGTTTTTTGCTTTATCATAATTTTTCTGCTTCTTCATTTCTTTTTTTACTTCTTGTTTCGTTGTTTCTTGCAATTTCTGTTTTTCTGCTTTCATTACCTTCTCTTCTTTTTGCTTCAAGTTTTCGTTAGCTGCTGCTCTTTGCTGGCTTTCATTTGTTTCAGTTTTTCTATTTTTCTTGGATTTATTGGAACCATCTAATTTGTTATTTTCTCCTTCACAGTTTTGTTCTTTTTCCTTTTCTTCTGTATTCTTTTGTTTCTTTGAATTCTTTTTTTCTTCACTTGAACTGACGGATTCTATTTTTTTATTTTTTTTGTTTTTTCGGTCTTTGTTTGTGGAATCTATATTTTCTTCATTCTTCACTTCATTATTGTTTGCAAGCTCATCAGTATTAACAACTGGTTCTTCAGATTCTTCTGAAGAAACCTCTTCACTACTTTTAACATTTAATTTATCTTTCGTTTTATTCTTTTTCTTCAGTTTTTTAAGTTTTTTTTTATCACTTGAAATAGCTTCCGTTGATACATCAACATTCTTTTTCTCTTCCAAATCTTTCTCTTGTGATTCCAGTGAGTCTTGGCTTGATTTTATGCTCTCATCTGATTGGCTTTG